CAGTTAAGCGGAAGACCCAATACTATTGTGGACTACTGAACTCTTTTAGAGTATTTTGCTGAGTTTACACATCTATAATATTTAAATGATGGAACTTAACAAAAAAAAAGGGGGATACAAATGAATGTTCATTTTGTATCTGTGTCTTCAAAGTGATTAGGATAGATATATGGTTACATTTTCTTAATGAATAGATGGATTTATTCTAGTGGTTTTTGTAAATAGAATATCAAGTCCGCAACTTGTACAGCAATTAACCCCTAGGAAGAATGTATGCAATGTGTTAATTATGGAAACTGTCCTACCAATTTAATTTGAAACTGACTCATTGCTATTTTTTCCCAATAAAATTATGGAAAAAAACAAATACAGGGAAAATTATATAGAGGAAGAAAAAAGGAGAAGTAAAGGGGGAAGAGAGAAAATGAATAAAAATTCTGGAGTCAAAAAAGACATTTCTGGAGAAATTCTGGATAGACTAAGGATCCAAGAGTGAATGATGACTAGACAATGAATAGTTACACATATACACACATGTACATACACACACACACACACACACACACACACACACACACACAGAAGAACTGTCCAGCCTTAAGGAGATTTTATCATTTACCACAACATGGGGAAGTTGGAAGCACATTATGTTAATTAAAATAAACCTAACACGCACACAAAAATACTGCATGACCTCACATATATGTGGAGTCCTCAAGGAAAAAGAAAGTCAAGTACTTAGGAACAAAATAACAGTGGTTTAGAGAGGCTAGGAAGAAGGAAGAAAATGAGAGATCTGAGTCAATATCAAGTTACCCGTGTGTAAGATGAATCAATCTAGAGATATAATTGCATCATCTTCAGTAGTTCTGCAAGAGTAGGCTTTGGATGCTCTTGACACGTGCACAGAAAGGGATAAGAATGTGAGATGAAGCATGTTGATTTACTGAATGCTCACTCTGCACAAATAAAATTAATACTAAAAAACTAGAGGTGCTCAGCAGCAGATTTGAGCTTACAGAAAAGGAATCTGAGAATCTAAAAACATCGATTGAGACTGTCCAGTCTACTCAACAGAAAGGAAAAACATGAATGGAGTCTGAGACCTCAGGGATGGCATTAACTTACTAATAATACACACATAACAGAGATCCTGGGAAAGGAGAGAAAGGGAAGAGAAATATATGGAGAATAATAGCCCAAACCTTTTCAAATTTGGTGAAAGCCTGCATAAAGTCAGAATGCTCAAGAATCTCAACAAACACCATATAGAACAAAGAAGCACACCAGAACATATCGAACTACCAAAAGACAAAGAGATTCTTGAGAGCAGCAGGAGAAACACTCCATCACCTACAATTCCTGCCCTGAAACAAGATCTTCCAGAGGCCCTCTCCCAGAAGTCATCCAGATGGAATATGAGGTAACAGTCACCAGTGAGCCATCCACACTGCCACCCACAGTGAAGTCAAAGATGGAAAGTTTGAAGCCTTTCAAGCTCTTCAGACGCTCTGCCCTTTCCATAAAGACTTTTATTTGGACCCCTCTCTTGGCCGTCTCTATCCTATTAGAACAGAGGGGGCACAAAGGGGTCAGGACAGGCAGGGCTGTGAGCACGCATCACTAGGGCTCTGACACAACAAAGGCTGCTGGCCTTCAGGGGGCTATAGCACATGGCCTGCTGGGAAATAGCTAAGCAGTAAGTAGCTGTTGGCTTTAGATTATATAGTATTGTATAGTATATTAAATCAATCCTAGTCTTGAAGCGTGATTATGGAGACCAGGTATGTTTATTTCCTCTTTTTAACATCTACATAGATACACATGGCCAATGTTAGGTTATAATTTTTTTTAGTGTACATCTATATATTTGATTTGGTACATAGTTGATCTCTTTCACAAAGATAATTTAGTGATAACTTGTGGAACTCTTGAAGAACAACTTTTCCCAACATTTGAACAGGGGACTTCCACTCATTTAGGTGGCATTTCCTGAGCATCTGTTCTGTACCCAGATGATAGGAGATGAGGGAAAGGAGGGACAGCATCTGAGTCTGAGAGCTTGGTGACAGGGTATCAGGAGAGGCAGCCTGGAGGTAACTCCTTTTCTGAAATCTGGAAGGATTAGCAAGTGAAATGAAGCTAGCTAGGCCATCCAGGGAGAAAGACTAAAATGCAGTACAGGTGAAGAACTTAGTAGCTCTGAGTACCTCTTAGTACCCCTTTGTAGTTACATGAATTTTTATGCATAGACAAAGAGCCATAATATTCCATACAGAAATCAAAGTTTCGAAACACTTGAATTCAACCAATATTTTTTTAAATTACAAAAATATGCACAGTTGTGTATTAGGTGTGGGTTACAGAAATGGCAGGAGAACACAACTACACATACATTTAATCCAGTGTGACAAGGGGCAATAGGACAGTGCAGACAGGCAGCATCAGGGAGGTGGAGAAGAGTCCTGTCTGGGAAGTCCAGGGAGCTTTCAGAGGAAGAAAAGGACAGGACTTGAAGCCCACACAGGAGAAATAGATAATGTCAGTAGCACACACAGCCAGCTTTGATGAGAGGCAGGAAAACTCAAGCTGTGTCCAGAGAACTGATGCCGCTCATTATTGCTACAACTTGAATTTGGAGTGGCGTGGAGAGTGGTAAGAAAGTAAAGGGAGAGACAAGGAGGAACTGAGCTGGCAAGCTTTGGGCTTTGGGCTGTGGAGGCTTCAAAGGATTGTAAGCAAATGTAATACAACAGAAAGTATTCAGAAACAGCTCTGATGCTATTGTGTAGCAGGACTACCAGAGGGTAAGAGCAACATCACAGAGATCGATTAGGCAAGAACAGGCATCCTGGCCTGGCCTGGCCTGGCCACAATGAAAGATGGGATCGGGGTGTGGTTCTAAGAGATGTTAGAAGTATGAACTAACAGGGCTTGATGTTGAAAAACACCTGCACGAGAGGTAGTGAAGGATAGGCCTCAGGTGTATGATTGGTGTGACTGTAGGACTGGAGATGCCACTAACTGCCCAACGACAGCCAGGGTCTGTTCACACACACACTCCTTCTCTCCTACCTCCTGTTACCTAGGCAAAAGTGAAAAATAGAAGGGAAGCCAGGAGAATCTCCCCAGTGGTCTCATGTGGCTCCACAGTGTGGTGCTTGGTGAGTCCACTAAGCAGGACTAGACCCTGGCAGCAGCTTCCAGCAAGGACAGGATGGAAGCCAGTGCTCATGTACCCAGCCCTTGTCTGCCTGCACCCTAACCACTGTCCCACACCTTGCCCTTTTCTCATCTCTTCACCCACCTTTGTAGTTACAGGAATTTTTGTGGATAATTCTGACATCTGACACCACAGATGGACAGCAGTGATTTGAGGTCTCTCTTTCTCCTTCTCTCTCCCTTTCTCTTTTTTCTTGCTCAAATTCTGCAAAGTCATCACAGTGGCGAACCAATATGGCACAGGCCACTGGAGGCCATGGGCTACTTTTTCCTTCTTGATCAAATTACAACTTTCTACTTTCTTCTCAGAATATCCTGTTTCTTTGTTCTCACCCAATCATTATCTGCCATGTCATGCAGCCTGCCTCCCCCTAAACTCCACCTCCATCTTGGCCCTATATAGTCTTTGTTCCATTCCTCACCCCAGGCTCTCAGAAGATCAACATCTTTCTTTGTACTCTTTGCTGTGCCTGCAATAAAGGCCTCTTTTCTCTTTCGTGTTTCTTTACTGCATCAAAAAACCTAACACCACCCTCCCTCACTACTTCTCTCACTCCTTCACTTCCTTTCTTCAATTACCACTTATTTTATTGTGAGCACATTTTTGTATTGATAAACAACCACCATCTAAAAGAAGTAGACTGCTGCCAGCCTCTCTGAAGCCCCTTGCGAATGCTCCCTTACTGTCCACTGAACCCCTCAGCCTCACCATAAGAACTTCCTGACCACGCAGGTCATTTCCTTGATTGCTTTCTGTGTTTTTTTGTTTGTTTAAATGTATTTTGTACAAGGTCTCTCAACGCAGCTCAAACTCATAGTGATCCCTGTTTTCAGCCTCCCCAGTGCTGGGATTACAGGCGTGAACCACCACGCGGTCTCAGTGCACCATCACACCCAGTCTCAGTAGCTGTCTTAGGGAGCCCCAGGGGTGGGGCCAGAGCAGCATGTGGTGCCAGGGATCAAATCCTGATCCCTGCATTTGCCAAAGCAGGCACTTAGTCCGCTGAGCTATCTCACTGGCCCTCTTGTTTTCTATGTTATTGCCTGGTCGGTTCCCTTCCCTAAACACCAGTTCAGCTATGCTTGTTTTGGAACCTTATTCTTTGAAAACCCTCGATTCTGATTCTATCGTTCAACACTGTGTATATGATTCGTCATATGCATAGCCCTGCTGCACATTGCCTGGGTATGTCACCATTGTATTCCATTTTATAGTGGTGGACTTTGGATTGTTTCCAGGGTGACCTCTTTAGAACAAAATTTCTTGAAGATGTTTGCGTACACATCCTGATCACAATTCATGAGTTTCCTCAGGGCCCATATCTGGGAGTGGAGCTGCAGGTTCATAGGTATCTTCAGTATTTTTTAATGTTAGTGATATCACTTGCAAAGTGTTTCTCTTGTTTCACATCTTCTCCTACCTTTATTGTTGTCTCACCTTTTTGCTTTAAACCTCTGTTGCCAAAAGACTCTTCTCCTGAAGTAGACCCCCCTAGGTCAGGGGATCTCACCCTCACATGCCCAGTGACAGTAACAGAGAACACTCACCTGTGAGGCACACTGCTATGAGCAAGCCATAAGGAGGGCGTGAACAGTTTTCAAGTGAGAAGACAGGAAGCTTAAATTAGTTCTGAACATCTTAACAAAGGTAAACTCTATTAGGGCTGTAATGCTTTATGACTTAAAAACTATATCACCTTCATATGCTCTGATTCCCTGGTTTAATACCACTATTCTTGTTGGCCGAAATTGTGTTCTGAGCAACCTTTGGCTTGAATGTACTGACCAGCTCAAAGCCACGACCCCTCAATATGTTTCTCTACCAAAGCTTGCCCTTCACAACTAACCACTGACAGGAGAACAAAAGTATGACCCCAAGCACTGTCCCTGACCTCTAACAGTTATGGACATGTTCTTTCTGGTGTCTCCACAGGGCTTAACCAGCTACAGGACTTGGCCAAGAGTCCTGTCCCCCAGCATGCCCATTTCATCATTCTGGCTGACTAAGAAGATGTTTTCCTTCAAGGTGAGCAAATGGATGGGACTTGCTTGCCTCCGGTCAGTGGTAGTCTCACCTAGTATTCGACAGAAGAAACTGATTCACAAGCGGCAAGAGGAAAAGACTTTTCGAGAAGTGATGAAGATTTTCCATGAGAAAATACAAGACTTCAGGGAAGAAATAGGAAATTTTCGAGGCAAGATCCATGCTTTCCGGGGCCAGATGCTGGATTTTGGGGAAATGGAGAAACCTTTCTGGGAAGAGGAGAAAACTTTCTGGAAAGAGGAAAAAACTTTTTGGGAAATGGAAAAATCTTTCCGGGAAGAAGAAAAAACATTTTGGAAAAAATACCGTACCTTCTGGAAGCAGGATAAGGCCTTCTGGAAAGAGGACAATGCCTTATGGGAAAGAGACCGAAAACTTCTTCAGGAGGACAAGGCCTTGTGGGAAGAAGAAAAGGCCCTGTGGGTAGAGGAAAAAGCCCTCCTTAAGGAGGAGAAGGCCCTGTGGGAAGACAAAAAATCCCTTTGGGAGGAAGAGAATGCCCTGTGGGAGGAAGAGAAAGCATTCTGGGTGGAAGGCGGCAATATTCGCATGGAGCAGATGCCCCAGGACAGGCTGCAAATGCCAGCCTTTTCTCGAGGCCCCGCATAGTGACCACAAAACATGCAGAGTCAAGGGATCCAGACTCTACTGGATTGAGACCCAAGTTCACAGTGTGACACCCAAGGCCAGAGAAAATATGCACTTATTTGTCTCCATGCTTTGAAAGATCTAATAAAGTTCTGAGGAGAAGTTTGAGCAACTAGCTTTTAGAGGAAGGCTGGCTACATTATTTTAGGTTCTGTAGTTCTCCAAGGTCATATGCTCAGCCATAGATCTTGGTGCAAAAGCCATTTAGCGTGTACTTAGGTAGGAGAGGAGTCACTCTTTTCAAAAGAAAAAGAATGGGGAAAAGAGGCTCTTGACACTGGCCTGAGGCCCCGGGGCACCCCCTGATGGTACAGAAAAAGTAGACCCACAGGATGACCTGGTGGTCCTGAAGGCCCTCTCTGCTCCTGTCCCCCATGTAGCCCCCACTCATCAGGTTTCACTAAGCCTGCATTTCTTTACTGTAAATTTATTCCCATGGCGGTCCCCCCTTTGCTCTTTGTTCTCATTGATTTAAAACTAAAATGCCCCAGGGAGATGATTCATTCAATAAATGTGGTCAAGTAATTTATGTCCCCAACTTTTCTTATGAAAAAAGATTAGATAATCTGCGTAGGGATTGGTATAGAAGTGGCCAGAAGGAAAGGAGTAAGAAATGGCAAGACAGACATCTGCTTTGCCTTCTACTATGCCTGGCCTTCATAGATATTAAAGCTCACCTTTGTGGCTTCCCTATCACTGGACAAGAACTTCTGCACCCTCCAACTCATGTGACCTTTCTAGGATTCTTTGGGATAATGAGAAAGATACACATGTACCTGCTGTACAGATGAGGAAACAGAGACCTGGAGAAGCAAAATGATTACATATGACCCAGCCAGTAGCAAATGCAAGGCCAGGATCAGAACTTATGTCTTCTCCTTCTAGGTCCCATTCCTTCTCTAATACAACCATGGTAGATGACCTTAAAGCAACTGCTGACAATGGCTACAACACTGCACAAGCCTTAATTTCTTTGGATTTCATTCTGGCTTGGAGTGGTGGTGGAGAGATGGAGAAGACATGGAACTTAACAAAGTTCCATATGTAGAGGTAGAGATATAGAGAGATAGAGCAGAGACAGAGATACAAGCATTCTTGTTACCAGATAAGTGGGCCAACTTCCAGAAGCACCCAGGTCTCTGTGACCTCTGGGAAATTCTACCTTTGGATTCTGAACCTTCATCGCAGGAGAAAATCCAGGTGTTATGGTTCAGACATAAAATGTCCCCCAAACATCTTCTGTGGTCAAGGGTGGGACTTTTGAAAAGCAAATGTATCATGAGGGTGCTGCGCTCTCCAGGACAGTGATCCACTGGTTCATACCTGGCTGGATGTGGTGGTAGGAGATGGGTTGCTGAGGACGTGTCTTGGGAGGCTGGGTTCTCGTGCCTGGCTCCTCCTTCCCTCCCTTCTTTTCTGTTTCCTGACTGGCATGCAGTGAATAGCTTTCTGCTTTCACCTTGCTGCCTTGGAGAGAGCCAACCATGGACTGAACCCACTGAAACTGTGAGCCCCAATAAACCCCTCCTTCTTTAGATTGTAGGTGTCAGGTATTTTATCTCAGTGGGTGGAAAACTGACTAATACACTGGTTAGAGAGACAAAACCTGAGGTGACAGCTGTGGTCTAGGCCCAAAGATGACTGCAGCCCAGACTGCAGGAGGGTTAAAGGATGAAAAAAAAATATGTATTGTGTATATGTACCAGCTCTCCCTGGTAAATGTAAACACTATGTACTGGAAAACATACTAACAAATCAAATTTTCAAAACAACTTCAAGGCATAAAATTAGCCAGGTGAAAAGCTGTACTCTTGTAATCCCACATATTCATGAGGCTGAGGAGGATGACAAGTTCTGGTCAGTCTGGGCAATGTAGCAAGACCCTCCCCCCAAAAAAAATAATAATAAAGGTCAAGGGAGGTTGCTTGGTGGTAGAGCACCCCTGGGTTCAATCCCCAGTGCCAGAAAACAAAACAAAGTGGTGAATTGTTGTAATAGCTAAAGTAATTGAATGTATCTGGGGGAGATAAACATTGGTGAACAGAATTTGAGGGTGAGTAAGTGGTAAATAGGAAGGAAATTCAGCAACCAGAAGAAAACAGCTCTATTAATGAGAAATAAAGCCTTGTGCAGGAAAGGAAAAAGTAGCTGTGGTGTTATGCTGTGAATACAACTGTGAACAGAATTCCAATAGTTAGCTGAACATGAGCACTGAGCAGTGATCTAACACAAATTACAGTGGAGGAGGTGTAGGGGAGGTGAGGGTGGAGGTGGGGGTGGGGGTGGGGGTGGAAGTCGGCTCACTTTTTCTTGTGGGAATCAGCCAATAACATTCAACACTGAAAACTGAGAAAGCAATATGAGCCTATTATTTAAGGCACCTTCTCAAACTTTAGCATCCATCTAAGCTGTTCAGAGGGTTTCTATGTTGCCACTTGGTCTGCTTCGCTCCCTGTTCTGGCCTCATGAGTCTGTCCCTTCCCTGAACTGTACTCCCTTGTGATGCTGAAGTTTTGCCCATACCTGTCCTGTAACTAGGATGCTCTCTGTCCCTCAGCACCACCACTGTGAGCTCACACTCACCTTCAAGCGCCTGCTTACCTATCACTGACTTTGGGAAGTGTTTGCTGACACTGTTGTCCTTTGGGGCTCTTCTGAGGTCCTCCTAAACCCGTACTTCCCTTGGCCCTGCACTGGTCACACCAGGCTGTCCTATTTCATTTATTTGCCTGAATTCTTTGGAAGACTGCAAAGTTCAAGAAGGCAGAGATGATGTTCAAAAGGCTCTTGCTGCCCAGAAGAATGCCCTGCTTATGTTAGAGGAATTTCTCATTTCAAAAACAGAAGTCAGAAATGTATTTCCCAGCCTCCCTTGCAGCCAGAGGTTGAGCATTTAACGTAGGCTCCACTAATAATATACATCAGTGCCAGACCTCAATGTAGAAAAAGGTGTCATCTGGAAGTCATCATTGAGGGTGGCAAGAAATGGAGCTTTTAGTGGAGGCGGGGGGCAGAGGTCTCCCTGCCCAGGGCAGTTAAGTGAGCTGCAGAGCCTATTTCTCTGGTTGCAGGGGCAGGAAGTGCTCTTCTCAAACAATCCAGAGCTGGATTCTGTGCAGAGCCTGGCCGTGCAGCCACCTACCCTGTCTGGCTGTTAAGAATATTCTGTGAGTTTCCTCTTACCCCTCATTAAATACCTTATCTATTAAGCTAGCTATAGCATGATAAGTTTTATTTTAAAAATACTTCTTAAAAATTTTTTTAACTAAGCAGCAGGAAAAGAAAGAAGAGCTGTCTTGCTTTGGATTTACTCTTCAGTGCCTAGTAGATTTTTGATATATAAGAAATTCTAAGGACCAGCCAAATAACCCAGCAGATTAAAGCACCTGCAAGCAGGGGCCTGGCCTGGGGATTTGATCCTGGGCCTTCCGTGCTGGCCCTGCCCGCTGGGAGGGGGGGATTAAGAGGGTGATTGAGACTGGTCGTGGTGGCACGCATCTGTAATCCCAGCTCTTGGGAGGTTGTAAACAGGAGAATCACTATGAGTCTGATCTAGTAGTGAGACCCCGATACCCTGCAGACCCTTCCCTAAAATACAGGAAAAAAAAAAAAAGAAATTCTAAATACATGGGTACTGATGTGGGTGAATAGACGAATGAATAAGTGAATGTCTGAGGGGGAAACTGCTCTGAAATCGTTGACTGTGTCCCCGACTTCCCAGAGGGAGGGAAGGTGGACCTACCATAAGGGCTTCCCCTCCAGTCCTTTCCCAACAGGGACCCCCATATCTAGATCTGCACTTACTCAGGGCAGGCAACCACAGACCCAAATATAAGTGAACAGGAGATGCCCCCGTGATGCATGGAGGCTGCCACTAGGGAGAAGGGTGATGCTGTCTACCCCAAGGGAGGAGCAGGTCCTGTGAGTATCCCCTCTCCTTGCTGCATGTGGCTGTCCGTGTACTTACTGTACCACTTGTTTTCTTGTATTTCCACCCTTAGCGAGTTCCTCCAGCCAGAGAGACTGATCTTACTCATGCTCTCTGGCTGTGCTGCCTGTGTGAGCCTGCCTCCTCCTCCACAATTTGAAATGAGCTCTTGAATAATATAAAAACAAGGCTGAAGACCAGCCTGACTGGGATCTCAATTGCTAGGGGCAGTAACTGAGCATTTGCAAAACTCTGAGCTGGTTGCTTAGCAACAAAATGAGATGCTGATTTAACTAGCTCAGATCCACTTGCCTAATCAAGGCAGCTTTAATCCTTTGGTACAAGGCAGAGACCCACAGCAAATGCTTGAGAAGACAGACCTACTGGACAACATCTGTCTTGATAGTGTTTTGGTTACTTTTCTCCTGTTGCTGAGACAAATACCTGACACCCAAAATCAAGAAAGGAGAAGTTTGTTTAGCTCACAGTTTGTGGAGGTTTTAATCTGTAATAAATCGGCTTCAAGGCAGGTTGGCATGGCACAGGGCAACAGTTCAAGACAGCAGAGGACAGCAAAAGCAGCAGGGGCAAAAGGAGTGGGGGAAAGCAACCCTCTTCTCCTTTTTTATATGCCATCAACCCACCCAGATCACCTAGATTCTCTGCTCTTCCACAAACTCAGGATGTTTACAGAGTAAAGACCCTGGCTCCCTGCCAAGAGTTGCTTACTTAAACCTCTAAATTTCTCAAGTTGACACAATGTACCAACCAGATACTACAAACAGATCCTGCTTTAAGCATCATTCTGCACTTGATATTCACCAAAAGGCCGAGAAGCGCTGTGTCATGTCTACGTGCTCACAATCCTGTGAAATGGCTCCAGTGTTAGCTGGAAATGAGGACACTGAGGCACAGAGAGCAAAGGGTGCACAACGGGTAGAAGGCAGGATTTGAACTTGGATCCAAGCCTTTTGGCAGAATCCAAGCTTTTCAAACTAAGTTACAATGCCTTCAGCAACTACTCTTAAATACCTTTCCCTTAAAGTGGTCAAGGCAGAAAACCCACCAATGGACAGATATGTGTTCTTTAGCTGAACTCCCTCTAATGTATCAAGTACCCTCGTCAAAGGAAT